GATAATCACTTGAACCCGGGGGGCAGAGGTTGCAGTGAGTCGAGATTTTGCCACTGCACTCCAGCTTGGGTGACAGAGCAAGACTCTGTCTCAATTAAAAAAAAAAAAAAAAAGGCCAGTGCGGTGACTCACGCCTGTAATCCCAGCACTTTGGGAGTCCGAGGCAGGTAGATCACCAGAGGTCAGGAATTCAAGACCAACCTGGCCAACATGGTGAAACCCCGTCTCCACTAAAAATACAAAAATTAGCCAGGTGTGGTGGTGGGCACCTGTAACCCCTGCTACTCAGGAGGCTGAGACAGGAGAATTGCTTCAAGCTGGGAGGTGGAGGTTGTAGTGAACCAAGATTACACCATTGCACTCCAGCCTGGGCGACAAGAGCGAAACTGTCTCAAAAAAAAAAAAAAAAAAAAAAAAGGCTACCCTGCTGGATTTCAGACTTGCATGGGCCCTGTAACCCCTTTGTTTTGTACAATTTCTCGCATTTGGAACTGCTGTATTTACCCAATACCTGTACCCCCTTTGCAAATCCAGGGTAAATACATTTCTTTAGTAAGTATGGCATATGCTTTGCTTTCATCGTCACTTTTCTTTTTCAGAAAGGTAATGGAAACTGAAGGGAGCATAGCAAAAAGACTGAAAGCACTTAATGTATGGCTTTAAAAGACCAGCTGATATGGTTTGGCTCTGTGTCCCCATCCAAATCTCATCTTGAATTGTACTCCCATAATTCCCACGTGTTGTGGGCAGGACCCGGTGGGAGATAATTTGAATCATGGGGATGGGGGTGGTTTCCCCCATACTGTTCTCGTGGTAGTGAATAAGTCTCATGAGATCTGATGGTTTTATCAGAGGTTTCCACTTTTGCATCTTCTTCATTTTCTCTTGCCACTGCCATGTAAGAAGTGCCTTTCACCTCCCTCCATGATTCTGAGGCCTCACCAGTCATGTGGAACTGTAAGTCCAATAAAACCTCTTTTATTTTCCAGTCTCGGGTATGTCTTATCAGCAGCATGAAAACAGACCAGCATTTAAAAGTATTGTTATTAGAAGATTAGCATTTTGTTAGGTACTCATGGATAGTTTATATGTGACATTGCCTTACATCTTTGTAAAATCTTCTAACCTGTAAAGAAAAATAAGGAATGTAGATGGGGTGAGGAATGTGGATAGAATGGTAAGATTGTATATGACAGATATCATCTCACTATTCTACCTTAAAACAGGCATATTCTGCCCATATCCTTCTAGGCATCTGATGTTAAATGTTTTTCCTTCAGGTCTTTTCAGGTTAGCTGCCTTTTTTTTTTTTTCTTTGAGACGGATCATACTCTGTCACCCAGGCTGGAGTCCAGTGGCATGATCTTGGCTCACTGCAACTTCCACTTTTCAGGCTCAAGCGAACCTCCTACCTCAGCCTTCTGAATAGCTGGGACTACAGGCACTTGCCACCATGCCCAGCTAATTTTTGTATTTTTTTGTAGAGACGGGATTTTGCCATGTTGCCGAAGCGATCCACCCACCTTGGCCTCCCAAAGTGCTGAGATTACAGATATGAGCCACCATGCCCAGACGGTTAGATGCTTTTTAATAGGTTTATGTTATATTAAAATATTTTAATTAGGCAACATACTGATTAGTTTTACTTTGCACAGTTAGTTTCAGAAACAAAGACGAACTTAATCTTTAGTGATACCTGCTCAGCCCTTTTTGCTAATTCACGCTGTATTTTCCTCTTTTCTAACATATCCTGCTCAATTCTGCGTTTTCGTTCCTCCTCCGTTCTCTTCCTTTGTTCCTCTTGTCTTTGTTTCTCCATTTCAGCAAATCTACCCTTAACAGTTCCTAAGAATATATGAAAAAAATGTTTAATAATTGGCTGTGTTTCTATTTTGCAATTTAATTTGCTATTTACCCCTCAAGCTTCTTACCTGTTAATTTTGGAACATAAGCCTTTTCTACTTTAGAAGATACGTCTTCCTCATCATCAGAAGCAAGCATTTCTTTAATCTAGATGGTTAAATAAATTAATGTGAGCACATGTCCAAAAATTAGACTAAATCATATTATATGCAGAGTTTAAATTAGGTTACAAATACAGAAAAGTATTTTAGTTATAGTTAATATGAAATGTGGTTAATGTGAATAAATACAATTTAAATTAAAAAAATGAAAACAAGTATTTTCACGAGAATAAAGTAAAATAAAGTAACCTCCTGCTTTCTCCTGTTCCATTCTCTCTCTCTAATATATTGTTCTTTTCTTCTTTGCTTTTCGTCTCTAGATCTCCTTTGATTTCTTTCTTCCCTGGCTCTCTGCATGGCTTCAAACTTATCCTTTACATCACCCTTGCCAAGTTTTGGTACATAGGTTTTTGGGACAGGTTTAGATGAAGAAAGCAGAATCTTCATTAGAAGAAAATAAAGAAAAGAAAGTTAACGAAAAAGATAGGAAGAAATTAGGTAAAGATAGATAAGAATAAGCAATATAAAAAATGTATATTGAAACATAAAATAGAAATGTGTTTGAACGCTTTATTTGACTATCACAACCTGAATAGATACTTTCTAAAACCTATGAAAAATGACATTACAGAAAATATGAGAGTAGAAATTTCACTGTTATATAGTAATGAAATCCCATTTTGTGGGTAGCATTCCACCGAAGCTGAAAGCCAGTAAAATATAAAAATCAAATTCTGAATTCTAATTAAAAACTGTCTTTTATTGTCTAACTCCATTATTAAAGATTCAGATTTGATATCACTTGCTAAAAAGGTACCCAAACTAATTTCAGTAAATTTGGTGAAGTTGAAAACAAAGCAAAAGTTTAGGCTTTAAAGTTTAGAGGCTAATGCACATTTTACACCCTTCCTGGTTTCTATATCTAATATAAGCAAAACTGAAGGCCAGTCCTTTAGTCCTTATTTGTGGCTGAGGTACACCATGGTCTGTGGGCACAAGCTGTGATTTATATTGTTACTATTACTTCCCATCTATAACTTCCTTAAACCACACTAAAAATGTGTAAGAAGGCTATAACATTCTATATAGGGTGGGCTTGTAAGAGCAATTCCATATGGCAAGAGAGCTTCACAAAGAACGAGAATCTGGTAGAAGACTGAAGAAATGATTTCCTCCACTCTATAACCAGGAAAGCAAATTATTTTCACCACTTTGAAAATTAAGCTGATTTCTAAATGAAATTTCAGTAAATAAAATGTGTGCCTCAGAACACCAAACCCTTTTTCCTAGTGATAATGACAATTGCTTAATTAATCTGTGGCACATCCAGCCTGTATTTTGTAATCTATTATGTGTCATTGGTCATTTAAGGGTTAATTTTATAATTCTGAGGTGTCAGCAACTGAACTCTTCTTACGGCAGCTCTCAGTATCTACAGTCAAGAACCAGAAAAAAGCTAAAAATTAAAAAATATACATAAGGCACTAAAAAGATTCCTTACCTAAGAGGGAATTATGCTTTCTCCTGTGAGTATAGGTCAAACTTTGTTTTAATACTAAAATAATACTTTCTAAGAGTTATCAAGAACAAAACATTTAAAATTCTACTCAGAATGCTAGCTATCACATCCACTTCACTATCATTCACAAATTTAGTACTCATGCTTTGTAGAATTTCCTAGAACCCAAATGAAAATACTAGCCCAAGATCAGCTTGTGAATTGTATCTCTTCTTGTTTTACATCTTGCCATTATGTTATTAATTATGAACTCCTAAATATAACCTTTCCACCAAATGATTGTCCTTTTAGCAATTCTACAGTCAACTGCACATTTCCCTCTTTTATTTTTATTTTTTTACTTTTGAGACTTACCTCAGCCTTTTGGGAAATATCATTCATGTTTGCTCTATGTGGTCTTGGGCTGATTATGAAGCTCTGAAAATATTTGCACCTGAAAAAAATTATATTGTATAATAAATTTTAACTTATTTGTAATATATTATGTATTTTTATAAATAGAAATAGCAATTAATTGCCCCTCAAAAAATACTGACATAATCCAAGCAAGTAATAAATTGTGATAACCTTTAGCTCTTTTTCCCAAGATTCATAGTATAGAAAATATAAGGTGCATGATGGTAAAAGATCCCTGAAAGTTTTTGATCCAGAATAGCTTGATGAACATATTAAGTTCACTTGAAAAGAATGTGTATTCAGCAATTATTGAGTGTATTACTCTATAAATATTAACTAGCTGAAGGTAGCAGATCATGTTTTAGATCTGTATTTTTACTAATTTTTGGCTAGTTCTATCAATCTTCAACTATGTAGATTTTTTTTTTTTTTTTTGAGATGGAGTCTCACTCTGTTGCCCAGGCTGGAGTGCAGTGATGCACTCTCAGCTCACTGCAACATCTGCATGCCAGGTTCAAGCAATTCTCCTGCCTCAGCCTCCCAAGTAGCTGGGATTACAGGCCCACGTCACCATGCCTGGCTAAATTTTGTATTTTTAGTAGAGACAGGGTTTCACCATGTTGGCCAGACTTGTCTTGAACTCCTGACCTCAAGTGATACACCCAACTCGGCCTCCCAAAGTGCTAGGATTACAGGCGTGAGCCACCACGCCCAGACAGAATTTTTTTTTTCTCACTTTAATTCTGTTGTTTTTGTTTCATGTAATTTCAGGTTTAATCACACACACATTATGATTATATTTTCTTTTTTAATTGACCCTTTCAGCAGTATATTTTTTGTTATGGAGACAGTCTCACTCTATCGCCCCAGGGTGAAGTGCAGTGGCACAATCTCAGCTCACTGCAATCTCCGCCTCCCAGGTTTAAGCGATTCTCCTGCCTCAGCCTCCTAAATAGTTGGGATTACAAGCAGCACATCCTCACGCCCAGCTAATTTTTTTTGTGTTTTTAGTAGAGACAGGGTTTCCCCATGTTGGCCAGGCTGGTCTTGAACTCCTGACCTCAAGTGATTCGCCTGCCTTGGCCTCCCAAAATGCTGGGATTACAGGTGTGAACCACTGTGCCCAGCCAACTAGTAAGAAATTTCTTTCTTCTTACCTCATTGTCTTAAACTTATATTAAAATAGTCACACCAACTTTATTTTCTTTACTTTTTTTTTTTTGGTGGTGGGGGATGAAGTCTCGCTCTGTCGCCCAGGCTGGAGTGCAGTGGTGCCATCTCGGCTCACTGCAAGCTCTGCCACCTGGGTTCACACCATTCTCCCACCTCAGCCTCCCGAGTAGTTAGGACTACAGGCGCACGCCGCCATGCCCGGCTAATTTTTTGTATTTTTAGTAGAGATGGGGTTTCACCGTGTTAGCCAGGATGGTCTTGATCTCCTGACCTCATGATCCGCCCGCCTCAGCCTCCCAAAGTTCTGGGATTACAAGCGTGAGCCACCATGCCCGGCCACCAACTTTCTTCTTATTTATTCATTTATTTTTTAGAGACAGCATCTCACTGTGTCACCCAGGCTGAAGTACCGTGGCACAATGACAGCTCACTGCACCCTTGAACTCCTGGGCTCAAGTGATCCTCCTTCCTCAGCCTCCCAAGTAGCTGGGACTACAGGCATGTACCACCATGCCCAGCTCTTTTTCTTTTCTCCTATAGAGATGGGGTCTCACTGTGTTGCTTAGACTGGTTTTGAAACCCTGGGCTCAAGCGACTCTCCCACCTTGGCCTCCAAAAGTGCTAGGATTGCATCCGTGAGCCACTGCACCTGGCCCCCAATTTTCTTACGTTTACAGTTTGCATGGTATATAATTTTCTAGCTATTTACTTTGATTCTATCTATGTTTTTATATGTAAAGTATATGTCTTGGACACAGCATATGATTGGACCTTGCTTTTTACAAAAATCAATTCTGATAAAATCTGGGTTTTCTTTTTCATTTTTTTTTTTTTTTTTTTTTTTTTTGAGGCATAGTTTAGCTCTTGTTGCCCAGGCTGGAGTGCAGTTGCACGATCTCGGCTCACTGCAACCTCTGCTTTCCAGTTTCAAGCAATTTTCCTGCCTCAGCCTCCTGAGTAGCTGGGATTACAGGCTCCCGCCACCACACCCAGCTAATTTTTGTGTTTTTAGTAGAGATGGGGTTTCACCATGTTGGCTAGGCTGGTCTCAAACTCCTGACCTTGTGATCCACCCACCTACGCCTCCCAAAGTGCTGGGATTACAAGCGTGAGCCACTGTGCCTGGCCTATAATCTGCTTTTTTAATTGCAGCATTTAGTTCATTAACATTTAATGTAATTATTAACATAAATGAGTTTAGGCCTATCATTTAAATGTTTATTTTAGGTTTGTTTTATCTTGTTTTGTTTTTTTCTTTTGGAATTTTCTAGCCAACTTTTTTTTTTAAATAGAGTTTATTTTAGGTTCACAGCAAAATTGAGTAGAAGATAGAGATTTCCTGTATATTTTCTGTCCCTGCACATGCTTAGTCACCCCCATTATCAACACTGGATAACCCCATTATTACCACCCATTGGAGTGGTACATTTGTTATAAATGATGAACCTATACTGACACATCATTATCACCCAGAGTCCATAGTTTACATTAGAGTTTACTTTTAATGTACATTCTGTGGGTTTTGAGCAACTGTACAATGACATGTGTCCATCATTATAGTATTGTACAGAGCAGTTTCCCTGATCTAAAAGTCCTCTTTACTCCACTTGCTTATGCTTTTCTCCCCCATCATTCCTGGTAACCATGATCTTTTTACTGTCTCCATAGTTTTGCCTTTTCCAGAATGTCATACAGTTGGAACCACACAGTATGTAACCTTTTCATATTGACTTTTTTCACATAGTTATGTGCATTTCAGTTTCCTCTGTTTTTCAGGGTTTGATAGCTCATTTCTTGTTAGCACTGAATAATACTCTATTACCTGCATGTACCACAGTTTATCCATTCACCTACCAAATGACATCTTGGTTGTTTCCAAGTTTTGGTGTTTATGAATAAAGTTGACATAAATATCTGTATGCAGGTTCTTGTGGACCATGATTACTGGAGTATATGGTAAGAGCATGTTTAGTATTACAAGAAACCATCATGTAGCTTACCATTTTGCATTCCCACCAGCAATGAATGAGAGTTCATATTGTTCCACATCCTCACCAGCATTTGATGTTGTCAGTGTTCTGAATTTGTTTGGCCATTCTAATAGATGTGGAGTGGTATTTCATTGTCATTTTTATTTTTATTTT